CTTTTCACCCTTTTAATGTTTATAAACCTCACTCCTCAGCCTCACCTGTAGGCTGCTAAATATGGGTGAGAATATCTTTGCAAACTGCACCTGCACGTGAATTCCTTTTGGGAAATTGCAGAGCCAGAGTCTGAACCCAACTGGGGGATTGGGATCTGTCTGTGCCGGGAGCTGCGTGGAAAAACAAAATCACAGGGATTTTAGAAAATCCCATCTTGAGGTGTGTGCCAACCCCACATTCCCATTGGTACCTGGAGTTGGTTCCTTGAAAGAGCCAAGCCCAGCTCAGCAGCTGCTCATCTCACAAAACACACCTGGAATTAGCAGGGTTTCATCCAGAACCAGCGTTCTGCTCAGAGCTGAGCTGTTTTCTCTCTTACACCTCAGTAAAATCTCTTTTCACCCTTTTAATGTTTATAAACCTCACTCCTCAGCCTCACCTGTAGGCTGCTAAATATTGGTGTGAATCTCTTTGCAAACTGCACCTGCAGGTGAATTCCTTTTGGGAATTGCAGAGCCAGAGACTGAACCCAACTGAACTGGGTGACTGGGATCAGCTGGGAGCTGCACACAAAAACAAAATCACAGGGATTTTACAAAAACACACCTTGAGGTGTGTGCCAGCCCCACATTCCCATTGGTACCTGGGGTTGGCTGCTTGAAAGTACCAAGCCCAGCTCAGCAGCTGCTCTTCTCACAAAACACACCTGGAATTAGCAGGATTTCATCCAGGCCTAACATTCTGCTCAGAGCTGAGCTGTTTTCTCTCTTATGTCCCAGTAAAATCACTTTTCACCCGTTTAATGTTTATAAACCTCACTCCTCAGCCTCACCTGTAGGCTGCTAAATATTGGTGTGAATCCCTTTTCAAACTGCACCTGCATGTGAATTCCTTTTGGGAATTGCAGAGCCAGAGACTGAACTGAACTGGGGGATTGGGATCTGTCTGTGCCGGGAACTGCACACAAAAACAAAATCGGAGATTTTACAAAACCACACCTTGAGGTGTGTGCCAGCCCCATGTTCCCACTGGGGCCTTGGAGAGCTTCAGGAATGGGTTAAAGCACAGCAGGAATGGAGCTGGACAGGGACAAGAGCAGCACAGAGCAGCCCAAGCACACCCGGCAGCGAGTGCCACCTGCGTTTTTAATGCTCTGAATTAAACATTTGGGGCTCGTGAGCAGAGCTGAGCTGTCCTTGGGGACCTTGTGGGACACCTCAGGGAACAGCTGCACCCAGGGACAGTCAAAAACAGCTTTTCTGRACCATTTAATCCTTCACTTTGCACCTCCCCGGGAACCTTGGGATGTTTAGTGGTTTTCTTGAAACCTCAGCTGATGATTCCAGACCAAAAACCCTTCAAAGGGAGGGNTGGAATTAGCAGGGTTTCATCCAGAACCAACGTGCAGCTCAGAGCTGAGCTGTTTTCTTTCTTATGTCCCAGCAAAATCTCTTTTCACCCTTTTAGTGTTTATAAACCTCACTCCTCAGCTTCACCTGTAAGCTGCTAAATATTGGTGAGAATCTCTTTTCAAACTGCACCTGCAGTGAATTCCTTTTGGGAATTGCAGAGCCAGAGGCTGAACCCAACTGGGGGATTGGGATCAGCCAGGAGTTGCACAAAAAACCAAAATCACAGGGATTTTAGAAAATCCCATCTTGAGGTGTGTGCCAACCCCACATTCCCATTGGTACCTGGGGCTGGTTCCTTGAAAGAGCCCAGCCCAGCTCAGCAGCTTCTCCTCTCACAAAACACACCTGGAATTAGCCAGGCCTAATGGATGGCTCTGCTCAGAGCTGAGCTGTTTTCTCTCTTAGGCCCCAGTAAAATCACTTTTCACCCTTTTAATGTTTATAAACTTATCTCCTCAGCCTCACCTGTAGGCTGCTAAATATTGGTGTGAATCTCTTTGCAAACTGCACCTGCAGTGAATTCCTTTKGGGAATTGCAGAGCCAGAGACTGAACTGAACTGCGGGATTGGGGTCTGTCTGTGCTGGGAGCTGCACACACAAACAAAATCACAGGGATTTTACAAAATTCCACCTTGAGGTGTGTGCCAGCCCCACATTCCCATTGGTACCTGGGGTTGGTTCCTTGAAAGAGCCAAGCCCAGCTCAGCAGCTGCTCATTTCACAAAACACACCTGGAATTAGCAGGGTTTCATCGAGGCCTAACGTTCTGCTCAGAGCTGAGCTGTTTTCTTACACCGCAGTAAAATCTCTTTTCACCGTTTTAATGTTTATAAACCTCACTCCTCAGCCTCACCTGTAGGCTGCTAAATATTGGTGAGAATATATTTGCAAACTGCACCTGCACGTGAATTCCTTTTGGGAATTGCAGAGCCAGAGACTGAACTGAACTGAACTGGGTGACTGGGATCAGCCGGGAGCTGCACACAAAAACAAAATCACAGAGATTTACCAAATTGCACCTTGAGGTGTGTGCCAGCCCCACATTCCCATTGGTACCTGGGGTTGGTTCCTTGAAAGAGGCAAGGACAGCTCAGCAGCTGCTCATCTCACAAAACACACCTGGAATTAGCAGGGTTTCATCCAGGCCTAACCGATGGCTCTCCTCAGAGCTGAGCTGTTTTCTTTCTTATGTCCCAGCAAAATCTCTTTTCACCCTTTTCATGTTTATAAACTTATCTCCTCAGCCTCACCTGTAGGCTGCTAAATATTGGTGTGAATCTCTTTGCAAACTGCACCTGCAGTGAATTCCTTTGGGGAATTGCAGAGCCAGAGACTGAACCCAACTGGGGGATTGGGATCAGCCAGGAGTTGCACAAAAAAACAAAATCACAGGGATTTTAGAAAATCCCATCTTGAGGTGTGTGCCAGCCCCACATTCCCATTGGTACCTGGGGTTGGTTGCTTGAAAGAGCCCAGCCCAGATCCACCAGCTTCTTATCTCACAAAACACACCTGGAATTAGCAGGGTTTCATCCAGAACCAACGTGCTGCTCAGAGCTGAGCTGTTTTCTCTCTTACACCTCAGTAAAATCTCTTTTCACCCTTTTARTGTTTATAAACCTCACTCCTCAGCCTCACCTGTAGGCTGCTAAATATTGGTGAGAAT